GTTAATAAATATTAGTTTTGAGTGTTGGTGTTGGCGGTATCAGGAAATAAGAAAGTGTAAAAAGAAAAGAAAAATTAATTAATTAGATCAAATACTTTAAAAAAAAAAGGAAAAAGGGGGGGGGGGGGGGTGTTGCATCGTGGGACTTAAAACTTCTTTACTTGCGCAATGAGCTAATTAGAAGTTGGGTGGTCAACGTACAGAGCTACTGCTGTACTTACTGTTCAGTGGCTGACCTTTTCATATCTTCTGTACCACCGTGTCTTCAATTGTCGTAATCGAATGTTATCTATACAGTTATTGTGTGTCTGGTGAGGTGTTCATTTCCGCAGCGGATCTGTATTATTGACTGCATACTTCCCGTCCTTTTTAGGATGCAATTTTTCGTTTTTCGAAGCACTACTCTGGCTCTTGCCAGGGGCCACAATATAGCCCAGCCAAAAATATGGCCTAATGGCTGAACTCGGTTTCTGGGACCTCTCCACGGTGATCCTCATCCACATGGTGGCACTTTGTGTCATCGGGTGTTTAGGGCTTGTGTGATGTCCTGGTGGGGTAGAAAGTCAGTCAGTCAGTCAGTATTATTGATAAACATATTCACTAATTAGCCCCTTTTTGGGACGCCTTTAAAAAAAAAGGCATCCACACACTTGCTCTTGTCGGGGGCCACAAATATAACCTACGGATTGAACAGAGATTCTGGGACATGTTTCCTGGCGATCCTCATCCGAATGGTGGTTTCTTTGTGTCATCGACTGCTGGTGGATCGTTGTGCGGTCCTGGTGGGATTGAAAGGCAGTCAATCAGTCAGTCAGTCAGTAAATCAGTCAGTCAGTCAGTCGTGTTTATCGACACATTTCGACTGGCTTAACCGGATATTTGCTAAACATTTTAATAGCAGTCCTCTTTATATAATGCCACCAGTTGAACAGCGTCTTCACACCCCAAATAATGCGGAGAGAGGGTGAAAAAAAAAAAGGGGGGGGGGTGTCGCAAGCCAGGGATGACAATACACAGAAAATGTGCTGAATAGCAAATAAAATGCAATATATGTCAAATAATTTGTATATTTTTACCTCGTATCACGAACACCTTTAGTCGCCCACAAATCAGGCCACGAACTTAATTTTTGAATACATTGTGACTCGATCATCTGAAATGCCTCGGTGCGCGAATGCGCAAAGATGGTTTTGGTTCCGTGTCATTTATAATAACTTAAATTGCGTCCGACATTGGGACGCAATTTGTTGTTGTTTTAAAGCTCCACTCTAGCTGTTGTCAGAGTCCCTAATATAAGCCAACCTATGAGTTGAACGGGGTTTCTGGAACCCATTCCCGGAGGATCCTCATCCGAGTGGTGGAACTTTGTGTCATCCGGTATTTATCGCTTGTGTGAGGTCTTGGTTAGGTTAAACGTCATCATCATCATTCGGCGCCATGTTTATGGCTCACGAACATCATCCGTTGTAATCAGGTTTGGGTGCTGTGAACATTGTCTTTGCCTTGTTTTTGATACATTAAACAGACGAATGGTGCTCGTATTTCTGATCACGTTAAGCAGAAAATATGGCCAGACCTACTAAATGTTCGCCTATAAGAACAAAGCTGCGGTAAAGATGGCTCCAGTCGTTAAAGGAGTGACTATGATAACGGTTATAAATGATACAAGTATTGAGGTGGACTCATGGGAATAAAATGGCATGGACCGTGTTGTGTGGAGAGGGCATATCAGGACGGGAATGAGAGTGAAGGAAGAAATTATTGCAGAAAAGATGAGAGCTGAGCGTCTGAGAAGAAACGGATTGAACACAAATGTTGACAATGGCTTTGAAATCCCATACTATCATTGTTGAAGACTTCTCTTGACGCGGGTGGGTCTTGCTAGTCACACTCGCAATCGCCATGGGCTGTGAGGCCCATGCTTCCTCATATCTGGAAAGACGGAAAAGTGCCAGTCAGTCATCATCAATCATGTTAACGATGCAGATGTCTAAAGTAGAAAAATATTGTTACTTTGGATCAATTAGAAGCAGCTTGCTGAAGATAGTGTAAGCGACGCCTAAATATGCCAGAAGGCTTTACTTTTCACAATGCTTTAGTGGCGAAAACGCTGAATATAAATGATGATAGCGTTGATGAATTCAAAGCAAGCAAAGACTAGTTGGATAAATTGCGTCGTCGGCTAAGTGAATTTCATAGTGTTGTTCGGCACGGAGATTCCTATGTGGAGACATTTGCAAACTCTTTAGGTTAAGCACGGCATCACATTTTTAATTGAGATGAAACGGACTTTTTTTATTTGTAGAAACACTATTTTTGGGGCGGGAAAACAAATTAATCAGATTTGAATAAATTTTAAGGGAAAAATTATGTTTTAACTCTCAAAAATTATGGTTCGCTAACGGAATCAATGAACGGAATAAGTTAGTGACCTGAGGTACGAACCTATTAACAAAAGAAAACGTATATACATAGTTACAAGAGCAAGCCTAGACCACTAACAGTGTATGTGTGTGTGTGTGTGTGGGGGGGGGGAGGGGTAGGTTCGAGGCCCTCTTAGAGGTAATGCATTCCACCAAATCAGTTAGTTAGTTAGTTAGTTAGTTAGTTAGTTAGTTAGTTAGTTAGTTAGTTAGTTAGTTAGTTAGTTAGTTAGTTAGTTAGTTAGTTAGTTAGTTAGTTAGTTAGTTAGTTAGTTAGTTAGTTAGTTAGTTAGTTAGTTAGTTAGTTAGTTAGTTAGTTAGTTAGTTAGTTAGTTAGTTAGTTAGGTTATCATCATTACACTCCGGACATGTCCATAGGTGCTCTGAACCTCCCCTCAGTACGAATCCCAACGTACGATGGCTAACAGTACCAGTTCTATGTTGATTAACAAGTCTTCTGGCGTGTCTGGTGTGCGTCTCGTTTTTTGCTATGCCGATCTTAATTCCCAAGTCTGCCATTCTGGCGAGTGATGTGGATTCACTGCCACCAAAGTCCTCTATCCTTCCCATTTCTCTGAGGGCAAAAATAATATCAGCATGATCCATAGGCTGACCGTCGATAGTGATAGCGGATCCAGCCAACCTGTCAGCTCTGTCCCAACCTGTCTCACCAAGTAACATTTGCTATTGTTACCACTTACCTTGTATACGAGTACTGTAATATAATACACAAAACAAAGCATGATCTTGTAGTACTACCAGTCTCTTAATTATGGACAAACACATTGAGGCGAAGATGAATCGGTGATCAATTACTCACTGTTTTAAGTCTACTACTGCCTGTCAAATACACTCACATCGGCCGTCTCTCAAGACAGGGACAAAACGTCTAGCGAACTATGTACAGGTTGCCTGCTACGGGCGACTGACACCAGATCGCGCAGATACACCCATGTGATGTGCAATGATGCGCAATGACAATGCTCTGATGGTTCTTCCTCGAAAGACTTCACCACCCCCTGGCTCAAGTTAAATGCACCCCTTGGTGAAAGAATCCAGACCTCCCGTCATAGCTACCTAGCCGCTCATTGAAGTATCATTGGCCAGCCTCCAGTTCACCGTCCAGGATTCCGTTACCTCCACATTACAACTCGACAACACTGGCCAACCTCCAGTTCGCCGTCAAGGATTCCGTTACCTCCCCATCACAACTCGACAACACTGGCCAACCTCCAGTTCGTCGTCCAGGATTCCGTTACCTCCCCATCACAACTCGACACTGGCCAACCTCCAATTCGTCGTCCAGGATTCCGTTACCTCCCCATCACAACTCGACACTGGCCAACCTCCAGTTCGCCGTCCAGGATTCCGTTACCTCCCCATCACAACTCGACACTGGCACACCTCCAGTTCGCCGTCCAGGATTCCGTTACCTCACCATCACAACTCGACACTTGTTGAGCTGATCTGATTCAAGAACCGACATCACAGCACTCAGGGCATTCCCATAAGCGCTCCGTCCCATCTTTAGCAGCGAGGGCAGAGTTCCAATACTAATCATGCGAGTAGCATTCTGATTAAACGTCCGCCTTGCCTTTTCTCTTAGCCTCGAGCATCGGCCAGAATCCCTCGTTACCCGCTACCCCAGCTGTATCTTCTTCGAACTGTGCACGTTTGAACAAGGCACTAACGACTCAGAACAGTATTCCACGAGAGTTTCTGCCGTTCATTTCCTGCCGGCTTATCCCAGAAAAAAAAAATCCAGACAATATTCCTCACCCGTGACTCTGCACAAAGCATGCCTGTCCTGACTTTCCTCAACATACTTTCTGAGTCAGTTATAATCACGATATGTGTGTGTGTCGTGTTCTCTAACCAGCGGAAAGCTGCAGTGACCGCCTCTACCTCCATTCTGAAGCTGGATGTTGGATGATAGGCTCTCCTGCACCAAACGTAACTCGACACTGGTCAACAGACATAAAGTTCCCCAGCTCGCCACATAGCTTCAACTGTGCCGACCCCAAAAACACATTGGCCCCACAACAATCCATTCTAAAAATCACTCTGACAGAATTCCGAAGTCTAACTTGTGAGCCACCATAGAAATTAAAATTGTTCACAAGAGCTTCACAGAATAAAAGATTGCTAAAACTGTCACATGACACAGACAAAAGGACTTTAACTATCTGGCTCACCTTAAGACTCACTGTTGACAGTAACTACCAAAAAAAAACCCGGGGTTCAGAAACCGCAACATAACACAACCGTCACACAGCTTCATTAACTCTTTATACCCCACAATAAATTTAAAACAATGGGTAGGAGTTGGGACGGTCTCCAAGTGCCTTAGCACCCAGGTTCCGGTATCACTGCAACATGTCTCTTAACAAAAATTTTAAGACGTCATTGGCACAGTACCTGCATTTCTATTTCTTCTTAGTTTGATTGCTCGTTGTGGGATACTATCTGTTGGAAGTTGAGATAAGTGGTCGAACCATTTCGGACGTAGTTTTTCCAATAATGCATGCGAATTTACTTTGATGGTCGTGTAAATTGTCATGTCTTTAATATTTTCAGATTCTGGAGAAGCTGAACATGGTTGAACTAGCCCAGGTGACAGTGTATGCTCAGGGATGTGGGATGATCTTAGGAGCTCTAGTAGGAAGCATGATGGCCGACATCTATGGACGCAGGCGTCTTCTGTATATATCTTTAGCTGGCATGCTTGCCCTTCACTGTCTTATGGCCTTGTCAATCTCCTGGATTATGTTCATCTTCATGAGGATGATTTCGGTTGGCTGCGCAGGTGAGTCAGTCGGGAGTATTAAAAGTACTGACCTAAATATGAATGCTTACAGTCGAGGTGGTTTCGACAAAAAAACTCGACAGAAAGTACGCTATGTGCTAATATTACGTTTATTCGACGGATCAGCATCGTGGCACACGGGTGAAACCCATAATTGCTCTATTCTACTTCTACTTCAAGTCTGAGTCTGAAGAATCTCAGCGCAGCGCACGAACTCCGCTGCACCGGTGAGGATCCTGAAATACTTTAAGTAGATTTTTAACTCCAAATTTTTGCTGAGGCAGCGCCGTTAGGCTACATTTTTTTAAATTTCCAACTGCCAAGGGATTTTTTTAACAGACAGAAGAATATACACGGGCGTCCGATCTTACTACCCAAAGACCAAGAGAAATTGCTAGAAGTCTACGTGAAAAAATCCCAGCCTTCACTGGGGCTTGAACCCAGGACCTCCAGCACTCGAGGCGGACATCATACATCGAAACCACTCAGCCGCCCCCTGCCCTATATTAAGATATTTAGATACAGCTAAACATAACATATGTGCTAATACAAAGAAAGAACTACAAAGAAAACACAATATGTGCTAATATCAAAAAGTAAGTAAACATATCATACACTGCTTGATAATACCAAGAAATAATTGAACACAACCGTACAATGGGCTGATATCGAGAAGTAACTAAATATAACACATGTTAACTGCTTGTGTCAAGAATAAAGTAAACATTAAACATAAAACATGTTATGCGATTATGTCAAAAAAAAAAAAAAAATAACACATGTTTTGTGCTTATGTCAACAATAAAGTAAACATAACACACGTTATGTGCTTAAGTCAAGAAAAAAGCAAACATAACACATGTTATGTGCTTATGTCAAGAATAAAGTAAACATAACACATGTTTTGTGCTTCTGTCAAGAATAAAGTAAACATAACACATGTTATGTGCTTATGTCAAGAATAAAGTAAACAAAGATAACACTTATACATTGGACACATATCCAGAATTGCTTATGTCACAATAAAGTAAACATAACACACGTTATGTGCTTAAGTCAAGAAAAAAGTAAACATAACACACGTTATGTGCTAATGTCAAGAATAAAGTAAACATAACACACGTTATGTGCTAATATCAAGAAATTAGCAAAGATAACACATACCATGGGACAGTATCCAGAATTTCGTACATATAACACACGATATTTGCTAATATAGATAAGTAAGTAAACATAACTCATAAAATTAACCAGTATCTGGAAATGAGAAAACGAAACAAAATATTAGCTAATATCAAGAAATAAATTAACGTAACACATATACACACTGTGCGCAAATATCAAAGTTAAGTTAAACAAAACATATTTTGTAATCTGAAGAAGTAGGTAAACACACATATAAAATGTGCTAGTATCAACATGCAGGTAAACAAAACATATTTTATAATCTGAAGAAGTAGGTTAACACACATATAAAATGTGCTAGCATCAACATGCAGGTAAACAAAACATATGTGTTAATATCCAGAAGCGGGAGCCGCTGTGATTTAGCGTCTAGACGCTCGACAGCAGATTGAAATTGGGTCCTGACCTTTTAAAAAATATACCTTGGCTCCTGGGTCTACCCAACCTAAAATGGGTAAATGGTATAGTCCATAGAAGTAAATGCCCTACATGTCCAATACCTCTGAAGGTGTGGTATAGGGTCCTCTACTAGTTTATCTTAAAACTTCACATAAAAAAGTAAGTAAACATAACACACGCTATGTGCTAATATCAGAAGAACAAAAATTATTAGTTACGAAACCAACCACAGCGGTTTTTGTTGTTGTTACTGTAATGGTTTTTCTAGGCAGATTTTTATGTTCTGTAGTTTGCAATTGCTACTAAACAGTCAGCTCTCGGTACCCCTGCCGAAACCAGCGCAAGACAAACCGCCCGCAGCTGGGATCGAACACCGTACCCCGGCGTTGCGAAGCTCGTTCAGGTCACAGATACCGACAAACATGTCTGTCTGTCTGTCTGTCTGTCTGTCTGTAGGTATTTATGCATGTATGTATGGATTTATGTAGGTAGGTATGTATGCACGTGGGTGTGTTTGTATATAAATATATGTGTAAAAGTGAGTGAGTGGGTTTGCGTGTGTATATGTGTGTAAGTGGGTGTGTGTGTGAGCGCTCGCTTGCGTGAGTGTGCGCATGCATTTTACCACCCATGCGTTTGTGTTTTTGCTTGATATTTCTACTTTGTATATTATTATACGAACATAAGATGCTTTATTGACAAATACAACTGATGTGTGAGAGATAGGTGTTTAAAAGGGCCGAGTAAAAGACGTGCCTACGTGCCCAATTTGTGACCCCTTAAAAATAAAGTTTGTTTATTCATTTGTTCGTTTAACTGGGGTTTGGAGGAAGAAAAAAAAGGGGGTGGGGGGACTGAGTGTCTCATATAATGGTGTCCGCCTCGAGTGCTAGAGGTTCCGGGTTCAATCCCTTACAAGGGCTGGAATTTTTCACGTGGACTTGGACTTTTAGTAATTCCCCCTGGTCTCTGGGTAGTGAGATCGGACGCCCGTGTGCATTGTTAGCACGTAAAAAAATCCCTTCACAGTTGGAAATTAAAAAAGTAGCCTAACGGCGCTGCCCAGGCAAAATTTGGAGTTTAAAATCTATCCAAATATTTTCAGGATCCTCGCCGGTGCTACAGAGCCTGTGCACTGAGCTGAACGTTTTCGGGCTCAGACTTGAGTTAGAAGAAGAACGGAGCACTTATGGGTCACTACCCGTTTCCACGACTTTGATCCGTTGTTCAAAACCTCAAAACCTCAAAACCTCAAACTTCGTTCAACTCCAGCAAGTGTTGGTTGTTTGTGGCCTAATTATGCGATTTTACGCTCAGTAGTCTGAAGAACGTCGGCTCTGTGGCTAAGTCGATGCGAGCGCTTCGTAATGCCGAGATGCCAGGTTCGATCCCAACTGCGGGCCATGCGCCTTGCATTTTTTCGACAGTGGTATCAAGAAAGCCGACCGTCCAGTAGCAATGACAAACTAGTGGACGTAAATTTGCCTTAAAAAACCACGCTAAAGTCGCCTCTGTGGCTAAGTCGATGCGAACGCTTCGTAATGCCGGCGTGCCGGGTTCGATCCTAGCTGCGGACTATGCACCGTGGGTTGGTTTTCGACAGTGATATCGAGAAGCCGACCGTCCAGGAAGCAATGGCCAACTACTGAAAAACCACACAACAGCCAGGGGCTGTTGGGGTTTGTCCTGCAACGTCCTGTAAAGGATACGCAACTAATCAAGTCTGAAAGACTAGCCAATTATAGTTTGAAAGGGTTCAAGTTGGTCAGTCTCACGTTTGTCATTCTTCTCTTTCATCTCCTCTACTCCTGGAATGCCTCGCAGCGTGAAAGGAAGAAGAGATCTCTGGAACCGGTCCTTCTGTTCGCTTCGTATATAGTAGTAGTACTTACCAGTGTATCAGATATTTCCGGGGTCCATCATCTACGTAGTTGACCTCAGGATATATTACCACTGTATACGAATAACATTGCTCTCTGTGGTGCCCTGTCTGATGCGTCTTGTTACATGGCCAAACTACTTGATCTGTTGTCTTTCGATAAAGAACAATAGTCTAAAGAATTGAATACTCCGAAGTCTAAAGAATAAAATACACAAAAGTCTAAAGAATTTAATACACAGAAAAGTCTACAGAACTCAATACACATAAGTCTAAAAGAATTAAGCACACATGCGTCAAAAAACCTGAATACATAGACGTCAATAGAATTAAATACTCAGAAGTCTAAAAAATTTAATACATCGTTGCAGTCTAAAGAACTGAATACACCAAAGAAGTCTAAAATAATGAATAGACAGAAGATATTTAAATAATTTAATACACAGAAGTCTAAGAATTGAATACACAGAAGAAGTCTAAAGAATTTAATATACCGAAGAAGTATAAAGAATTGAAAATACAGAAGAGGTCCAAAGAATACACAGAAGAACTCTACATAATTGACTACATCAAAGTCAAAAGAATTTAATACACAGAAGAAGTCTAAAGAATTAAATACATAAAAGAAAACTGAAGAATTGAACATACAGAACAGTATTTTTCAGGTAACATAAAAGCGTGCACGTAAATGCAACACACACAAAACACATTATTCTCCTTTAAAAAAAAAATTGTAAAAACAATAAGAGTTTGGACAGTTTCTGTTAGATCTGTTGTGAATTAAGAGACTGTATTGCATGGTTTTAAAGCAAATCTCATACTGTAATTTTCCTCATTACGCTTTTTGTGTGTGCATTGTTTTAAAAGGTATTTCTTTTATTTTGTGTATCGATATCATTACTATCTTTCTTTTTTGTTTCTGTAATTAAGGTTATGTTGTTCCTCAAACGAACGACTTCACAAGGCGTTACCGTTTCGGGGTGCGGGAAGGGGGGGGGGGGGCGGGGTGCTTATTATCGTTATTCTTTCTTTGTCATTATTTTCTTTTGCTCCGTCCTCAACAGTAGCACTTAGCACTTTGTGGTTTACAGCTAGGCTAAGATATCTGTCATATTACATGGCTACCCTTTTACGACATATTTGTTGTGGGGAGTGGGATGTCTTTTGTTCCCTTTCCCATTCCAATGAAGCCAAAGAAACCACAAGTTGAATTATTCTTTCACTGAACCCTTTCTTTCTTTCTTTCTTTCTTTTTCTTTCTTTCTTTCTTTCTTTCTTTCTTTCTTTCTTTCTTTCTTTCTTTCTTTCTTTCTTTCTTTCTTTCTTTCTTTCTTTCTTTCTTTTTCTTTCTTTCTTTCTTTCTTTCTTTTCTTTCTTTCTTTCTTTCTTTCTTTCTTTCTTTCTTTCTTTCTTTCTTTCCTTCTTTCTTTCTTTCTTTCTTTCTTTCTTTCTTTCTTTCTTTCTTTCTTTCTTTCTTTCTTTCTTTCTTTCTCATTTTGTTCAATTTTCTCCAGTTTCTCTCTCAGGCGCAGGTAGAGATGTTAACATAAATTCTGCAACGAACATGACAGTTCTCTGTAAGTTCCCAGTGCACAGTACAAACCGGATATTCTTGACTAAAAACCATGACAGAATTTACGCGGCGTTCATTAAATAAACAATATTTGTTCATTAGCTGTTTATCCACTTCTTTGATATGCACCGTTTTTGTTTGCTTTTAAACAATCGCTAAATGTCAGCGTTGCATGTGTTTAGAGACTGCATAACATGTTATGGTTACATTTATGCCTTTCTCCCCCCCCCCTTTTTTTCTCACCCCCCCCCCTTCCCATTTAAAAAAAAATTATTTTTTTTTTCTATGATTGAAGTCTGTAAGGCTAACATCGCAAGGATGAGAATCACACAGGTGCAAATTCCGGACACTCTGTTCAACCGCATAGCCATCGATCTTATTTATATTTAGACACCTCAAAACGGTTACGAAATAGCCTGTAGTCCGTTTTAGGTGAGTCTTTACTGCAGGTAATCCAACTTTAAGAGTGTGCCCCGAGTGTACAGTTTAGCTTTACCGACTTCTGTTATTCCATTTGCTTTGACCTTTCTTACAGCTGCCTTACGCATTTTTACTCCGTGTGCAAGCTTCACGATTTAGCAAGGACTAAGAAACTTTTCATTTGTTATCAAATAGAACAGTAAAGACATTTGTGTTGTTTCCACTGGCACAAAAAACGGAGCAGTTATGGGGCGACTCGACTGTAATGATGTTAGAGACATGACTAACGACTAATAGTCCATGTTGTGGAGCGTTGGTATTCATTTCCGTCCACCTATTACTGTCTCGTGTCCCAGCCTTAAATGGGTACGAGGTAAGTCCTGGGAAGTAAAGGCAATCGGCATAATATTGACCACATCACCCACCGAGTGCGAATTAGTCTATAAAATATAGATCTAGCCCTATATGCCCAATGCACCTGAATGCTTAGAAAAGGGACATTCATTTACTGACTCCTGTCTCGTGTACTTTCAATTATTTGTGACACAGATGATCCTCCGTGCCATAATGTCAGACTGTCCAACATCTTGTCTCTCTGGTCTCCCTTCGCTGCTTTTCCTCCTCCAACTTTCCTGCAGGCGCGCTGTACTCTTTTTTACCCCTCTCATCTGACTATGGTCTCTGAAGGAAATCAGCTCTCATCCTGAGTTGATTCCTTTCAAAACCCCATCATTACAGATTTATTTGCCTACGATGCTCACATAAATTCGTCTATAAAACTACATCTCTGCAGCTTTTTTTTAAAAACTAATCGGTTGATTTCTCATGATTTACTTCCATAAATCAGGAAGGGCTATATGTAGCCCTAAATGTTCTCCAAAGTTTTTACGAATGTAGAACTATATGGCTGACGCTATACTCCTTTTGAAACGCAAGGACTTCTATCAAACTGCTTGCGTCCTGTATCGATGGTGATCTGTTTAAATTACCGCTTAGGCGAAACCACACAAAAGACGTCTTGTCCCTGTGAAAATTAGTGAAATACAGCAGTTCTGACAAAATCCAGAAGCTTGCACACGCAGTAATTGCGCACGGCATTAAAACCAACAGTCCCTCACTGGAACTGCATTTCTTTAAAAATGTAGGCAGCAGTCGCGACAGGTAACCGCAGCATTGCATAAGGTTCATCGCCAGTCTCAACGCAAATTGACCAGCCTCTATTTTATGACTATCCACTTTCCAGAAATGTTTCCTAGGAGATAAACAGCACGCCCACACTCTTTAGACTACGATGTGCACCGACGAATAGCATTTAGCTTAAAATCTACAACTCACATTGTCGCATCAAGCATTCAACTCAATAGATTGGCAATGGAATTATGTTCTTTCAAGTTTAGATATGAAGAAAATGCACCAGAAAAATGCCTGTCAATCCACCATATTGGACCGGAAGCATTAACGGCAGTGTTAATCATCATCATCATCATCATATCCATCATCATCAACAGTGTAAACAAATATAGGCAGTAATGGTTTGCCATCTCACGTGATCACCAGTCACGGATCAGGCCAGTGTTCCAGTTCCGCCCAAGCCATATGGCTAAGCCTTCGAGGTATTCATTTCTTCTTTTTTCTGTTGCATTTTTTTTTCTATTTTACCTTATCAGGCCAAATGATTGTGTTTATTCCTTCTCATAAAATTATCACTGGTCTGTGGGACCAAGTAAAATGGAAGACATTAAAACCATGCACCTGGAGAGAATTTCGGGTGCGGGGAAAGGGGGGGGGTGGGGGTTGACAGCTGGCCCAGAGCGCCAATCGAGACTCCGGTGACGCAGCACGAGGGGCTAACCAGAATACAATAGGGGCCTTCAATATGGACATTCTTCGTTGTCCGTTGGGGAGTGAGACGAAGATAGGATGGTCTTGTCCTTCTTTTTCTCGTTCACTTATGGGCTTGCCCTGAATGCTATGATGTCAAATCTTCAACCAGACGAACTGTCCAAACAATCTTGAACTTTCAACGTTTACCGAAAACATTATAACAGTTTACCAAACTGAATGTTCTTACTCTAGGTGCCACACTTGTCATTAGCTTTGTGACGGTGGTGGAGTTTGTGGGTCCGGAATGGCGGGATGCCTGCACTTGTTCATGCTTCTGGGTGCTGGGGGCCGTGCTTATCTCCATGGAAGCCCTGGCCACACAACACTGGAGATGGCTGGCGCTTCTATCTGGTGGGCTCTGTCTTCCATTGGTTGCTACCTTCTTGTAAGTATCGTTTTGCTACTGGTAATAGCTAATTTGATAATGACGATCATCGTCATTGTCATCATTAGCATCATCATATCGAAATCATCATATCATCATCATCATATCGACATCATCGTCATCATCATATCGACATCATCATATCATCACCATAATATCGAAACCATCATCATCATCATATCGACATCATCATCATATATGTCACCATCCACTCTGTCATCAAGTGATTCTCCTAGTCAACATTAGCCGCTTCAGCTTTGTGTCACGTTGTGTGTTCTAGCTAATTAACCCTGTCTCTTATCAGGTAGTCAAGAACCTATCTTTAGGCCTACTGGGATATCACGTGTAGGAAATAAGCGTTATTCGCTCAGGATAGTATGGGAAACCTGCAGGTGTCAGTCCGGAGGGGACAAACCGGTCCATCGATAGCTTTATTTACCGACTGATGTCAGTCAGGGGAGCTGGAACCCAGTTGAGTCAAGAACCGACATCACATCACCAGGGGCATTTTCATAAGCGCTCTGTCCCCATCTTCAGCAGCCAGCGTAGAGTTCCAATACTAATGGTACCGATCGAAGTCTGGTTACGTGTCCGATATGTTACATGCATCTGGATCCCAGGTGCACATATACCCCTCTCCGCCCCAATAGCAATTTTTAGGGTGTTTCAGAGCCCATAAATTTGTAAATCAATGTGTATACATTTTATATTATTCCAATTTTTGTTTTACATTTATTTGCCATTTAACACTTAATTATGACAGTTATTATTATTCACCTGAGCAAGCATGAATGAAAGATCAGCTAGTGTGTAGCTGGGCCCAACTTTGTTACTACAACCATATTTTCTTAACAAAATTGGGAGAGAAATTACTAAGAGTTTTCTAGCGAGATGGAAAAAGGGCGGGGTGGGGGAAAAGGAGGGGGGGGGGGTGGCGACTTGATTACCTTACTGTTACTTAGCAAATATTAACTTTCTCACTGTAACTAAAGTTTAAAGTAATCAGTGGCTTTCTTAGTCTTACAGACGCTTCAAATAACTATTACTCTCTCACAGTTACATTGGTTAGTCAGTTAGTTAGTTAGTTAGTTAGTTAGTTAGTTAGTTAGTTAGTTAGTTAGTTAGTTAGTTAGTTAGTTAGGTAGTTAGTTAGTTAGTTAGTTAGTTAGTTAGTTAGTTAGTTAGTTAATTAGTTAGTTAGTTAATTAGTTAGTTAGTTAGTTAATCGACAGATCAATGGATCTAATGGATCAATGAATACGTTATGTATGTCATAGTTTTCATGTTTGTCGACACCTCTTTTGACATGAAGTTCTTGTAGTCTTTGCATCAGTTACATTAGCATTCTCTCATTCTCACTTTATCTCAAAGTAACCACAGCTCTCTCACTGTTGCAGAAGCTTCAAGTAACCATTGAGTCTGTCAATCTTATATTAGCATCAAGTAACCATTGAGTCTGTCAATCTTATATTAGCATCAAGTAACCATTGAGTCTGTCAATCTTACATTAGCATCAAGTAACCATTGATTCTGTCAATCTTACATTAGCATCAAGTAACCATTGATTCTGTCAATCTTACATTAGCATCAAGTAACCATTGAGTCTGTCAATCTTACATTAGCATCAAGTAACCATTGAGTCTGTCAATCTTACATTAGCATCAAGTAACCATTAACTCTCCACCAATGTTCTGCTTCTGCAGTACCTCCACAGAGTCTGTAAGATGGCTTCAGTGTCAGCACCGCTTTACCGAAGCCGAATGGGGCTTCAGGGAAGTGGTGTCTGTGAACTCGCAAGCTGTGCCGGACCTGACGACACTGCTTGACCGGTCACGTGGTTGCATCGTCAACAACATGCACATCAAGAAGTTTACCTATTTGGACCTCTTCCACTCACTAGACTCCACTAAGTGGACCATTGCCCTAGTATATGTGTGGTGAGTTTTTTTGTTGTTGTTACCCTCCTCCTCCTTCTTCTTCTTCTTCTTCTTCTTCTTCTTCTTCTTCTTCTTCTTCTTCTTCTTCTTCTTCTTCTTCTTCCACCACCACCTCCTCCTCCTTTTCTTCTTCTTCTTCTTCTTCTTCTTCTTCTTCTTCTTCTTCTTCTTCTTCTTCTTCTTCTTCTTCTTCTTCTTCTTCTTCTTCTTCTTCTTCTTCTTCTTCTTCTTCTTCTTCTTCTTCTTCTTCTTCTTCTTCTTTTCTTCTTCTTCTTCTTCTTCTTCTTCTTCTTCTTCTTCTTCTTCTTCTTCTTTTTCTTCTTCTTCTTTGCTTTCTTCTTCTCCTTCTCTTCCTCCACCGCTCATTGCCTTTGTTCTTTTCGCTCACATGTTTATTTGTTACAGGCATATATACACATGGCAAAAGCATTACAGGAAGCAGGATTCTGATGTGGCATGCACGAAGAAAGAAGTTATTTCATTGTAACCGAATATTACAACCGAATATTCGCATATTTTTTTTGAATAACGAATGAGCTTTCGTTAGCCGTTCATTATGAGACGTTTCATATACCTGGCTGTGGCGGTAATAGAGGTTTGCTCATATTTGCAGGAACAAGACACTCAGAAATTTTTGAGAAAAAAAAGTTCATCAGCCAAAATTTAAAATTTCGCAGATTAGTTTGTATTTATTTTTAATACTACTTACTTGATAGTGTATCCGTTCACAGCTGCTATTTTAACCACATATTTTATTACTGCTGGCTACTTTATAATCATCATCAACAACGGCAGCAGCAACAACAACAACAACGTAATCACCATCATCATTATATTTTTCTGAATATATCTTTCATCTCCTAATATAGCATAGGTCCTTACCCACCTTGCGCCAAGCATTCTTAGATGCCTTTTAAAACTTTGTTTTCCACGTCCTGAACTAAACAATTTCATGCCAGCTTGCGCCGTCGCCTCTTACGTCATGTAGAGATGGTTACCGTGCTACTATTCGTTGCTTGGCGGCGTCCGTGGCTTAGGTGTTGCGAGTCCGACTCGTAATTCCAACGTACCGCGATCGAAACCCACTGCTGGCCGCATGGATTTTTATAGTAGTATGAAGCGTCGCAGGTCGACCCAGCCTAAAATGGATACCAGGATAGCTGTCCTGGGGAAGTAAAGAAGTCCGGCGTAATGCTGACCACATTACCAACCTAGTGCTGGTGGTCTGTAAAAATATGGGCTCTCTTCCCATGTGCCCGATGCGCCTAACGGCGTATCGTTGCTTCCCCTGTAAACCCAAGTAAAACAGTCATAGTTGGCACTGGTATAACTGTTACTGTTCTTTCTTATCGTTGCATAGTTTACTTTGTTGATCTCCACAGTACAGTATCGTCGACCGTCTACTTCAGTCTGTTTTGGCATGTAAAAGACATGACAAACTTCGCCTATTTCAACAGTTTCCTGCCGTTTCTCATAGACCTGCCATTAGCCTGGTCGGTCGTTGTTTTGAATCGTTGGTAAGTTTTGTCTTCAGTTGCTAGAATTATTACTTCCTATTCATTCTGAAGATCATTTATGAACAAATGCTGACAGAAGACAAGAGGTTATATAAAATAACGTTTAAGAACGAAGAATTATGGTTGGATCCGGCAAGGAGGGACGAATGAGAGAACGATGAGTTTATAATCAGTAAGTTAGTCGAAGTTTCCACATCACCTCAAGCGGGTTTTCCCATACTTGCTCTGCTCCTGTGCTACTGAAAATCAAATGTCCCTTACAGAATCAGCGTGCTACGGGAACAGTTAGCGTCTGCTTAAGACATTTACTGTTCGAGACGAAGCAAGTGTGGCTATGCCTTGTGTGCTATGCTGTGGATTCCTAAATCGGTGATTACTTCAGATATGTGAAACAGACATCTGAGAAGGGATACAGGAGGGACCAGAAGAAAATAAATCAGAATTGATTTGATAAATAATTAAACAGAAAACAGTTTATCGCAGAACCAGTACTAAGTTACATAAAAAGACAGTAAATCAAACGGTTCACTGACAAACAGAGAATGCATTGTGTCGCCACACCATACCAGTCATACATAAAAAAAAGAAGGACGTAGATCACTAGATAGACATAGAATAAGAGGGAAAGATAACCTCAGAGAAACTCTACAACAGCACAATTTGTCTTTGATGAAGCCGGCCAGAAGTGCAATCAATACCCAAAGAGGTACAAGAGGAAGTGATGAAGAAGAGAAAGATAAGTAACATACATTGATGCCCGTTCCAAGTCCATACGTAAATAATACTGCAGACTATGTCGCAAGAGACGACTTAGGCATAAGGTTGACAACCATTACAGCGGAATTTTTTAAAATGCAAATCCAGTCAGTTGTGAACAGATCTATATGCTTGGCATACACTTGCTTGAGAGTCTGTCTTTCAAATGGAGTTAGAAGAAGAAGAAGCAGAAGCAGCAGCGGCGGCAGCCGCCGCCGCAGTAGCCGCAGCAGCAGCAGCAACAGCAGCAGCAGAAGAAGAACAAGAAGAAGAAAAACATGCGAACAAAAATACTATTAACTAGGGGTTAAATTATATCTACAACTGAGCGGGCCAATGCGAGGGTAGGTGATACAAAGTGTTACTGGTTAATGACATAGTTAAGAGTTTACTGTCCTCAGAACATTATCATTGATAACGCCATGTCCACACCTTCAGCAGAAAGCACAGAGTTACAATACAGTTGTACAAATTGTACTCTGATTATATGTTCTTCTTCCCTTTCCATTGAGCATTTACTGCTTGCTAGACCCTGGGTCACTCCCACTTACATCATTCTGTGCAGTCCCTGGTGATCTGTTCTGCCCTTCTTGCTGTTTACCTACTTCCAAAGTGCCTTGACCACGACTGTCTTGTCATGAATCAATCAATCTCCCACTTGTGCAGAACCGGTTAATATCTTTGTTCGTTTCGAAATACCAGCAAGTCAATCAGAATATGTCATTTTATTTATTAGATTATTTGATCGTTTTCCGGCACACAAGTATGTCTTAGAAAAGATTTAAAAAAAAAAGGTTGCTTATCATGGCCTTCGACAAAGACCAAGTTAAGGCACGTACGTGGAAAATAACTACCTTCTGCAAAACTTGCCAAGAAACCATAACAGTCATTAAAGAAAACACTGTGAGACAGGCAGTCATGTTTGATTGTTGTTGACATTGTATTTCAGTTATTAAGGATTCACTTATTTGCTTCATTTATGTAATTGTTACTGTAATATGCACTTGATGAAGTACAGCGAAATATGCCAAGCAATAAATTGTGCAATCTGTTGTTTGTGTCTTGTTTGTTAAAAAATGTTCATGTTTAAAAAGATATTGGATGTCGTTTTAGACCTGTGCAAACCGGCCCAAACATTGACTGTTGTCTAGTTTTACTAGACAATTTTACGTTAAGTAGTTTGCCATTGTTTTCTGAACGAAGCAAAGCTATTCCGTTGTTAAGCCATCTCAGAGCTGGCTGCTATCAAATCGACGGAAGCTGACTAAAGCTCCGATATACAACAGGATTGGGAAACTGCGCTCACAGTCCTCAAGTCACCGTCGCCGACAATTCCTAGGTTTTATGCCTCCAAACCATCCTCGTAAAGTGCACTACTCTTCGATCGTCCGTCGTATAATGAGGTTGGGTTGAAAAAAGTAATGATAATAACACTAATTATATTTGACAGATCCATTAACAAATGCTTTCATCTGCAGCTTGGGACGTCGCTGGTGCCTCTTCTTGTACGCTGTTGCATCTGGGTTCGCTCTTCTGTCTATCCTCATTCTCCATATCACTGGAAATGTGGACTTTCTTCCTTCCTTGGTCACGGGCCTGGCTTTGTTCGGCAAGATCGGAGTGACAGCGTCTTTGTCGCTGATCCTGCTCATAACGACAGAAATGTACCCGACAGTCACAAGGTAGAGGAACTAGTTGTGATCTGTTGATCTGTTGTGATATTTATTCGTTCGAGGGGAGAAGGAACGGGGGTAGCATTGGCGGGGGAGGGAGGAGAGGGGGGGGGGGTGAGACACTTCGAGCATGTTCCTCTATTTGTCATTTAGCACACTATTATTATTTACTTGAACAAGTGGAGCCGCCGTCGTGTAGCAAGATTCTTAGACTCTAGACGTGGTGGGTTTAAATCCGAAAAAAGCAGCTTTAAAAAAAAAAAACACATTTGGCTCCCAAATACACCCAACCCTAAAGTGGTACCAGATAAAGTCTGGGAAGTAAAGGGGCACGGCGCAGTATTGATCACATCACCCGCCAATTTACGATTGGTCTATGAAATATAGGTCTTGTACAATGTGCCCAAGTAGCCTGAAGACACAGACAAGGATCCCTTATTAAAACAAGACAGGCTCCTTGTCAATCCCCCCCCCCCCCCTTTTTTTTTTCCTGACAATTAGCAAGAAGCAGCTGATCCCCCATAACATTTTCTTTCTGACGCCGCACTTGCTCGATTACCTGTTATCGGAATGCAAGACATAGCAACTCTGTTATTATAATTTGACATACTAGGGGACTTCAACTGAACCCTTAGAAGTGTGATGTTGACTACATTACCCATGCTATTGTCTTGTTACTTGTCAGTAGTGTTGTTATGGATGTCAAGAGTGTTAAGCACGTGACATCACAGTGATAACAAAAAAGGAAAAACCATAAGGACAATTTGAAGATGGTAGTTCCTCTTTTTACACGCATCAAAGAGAAACAGCGTGAAAATAAGATATGTTGGCCCGAGAAAACAAATATCATAACCTTGCTGTAAACCACAACATAAAATACCAACCGCACTCTTAAAGGCGAACGCAGAAGAAAAGGATGCGCCCGCACCGTTTACCCCTGCTGACTGCTACCTGATGGTTTGACACACTGAGGTTACAAAGTCTCAGTCATGAGGACAGACCAACAAGGTACAAATCCAAATACGGCGTTCAGCCTCTAAAGAAATTAGTAAATAGGGCACACAAAATAGTCTCACCAGAAATGTGTATCCTGCAGTTCTGTGCGGGTTATGGCTGATTTTAGCACAAGAGAAAAATCATCATCATCAAGTATTTCGTCCCCTGCTACATGGCCTCTGTAGCTTTTATGCGTTGCGAACGCGCTTCGTATTCCGAGATATCCGGGTCGATTCCAGCTGCGGTCGGTTTGCCAGCAGACTCTTCTTATGCTGGTATCGTCAGGGCTAAAAAATACACTGACAATTATTCTAAAGTCTTTATCCACGGAGCAAAAAACACAACACATAAACAAAGGATAACTTAACGGACAAGACAAAAGTTCTTCTAATCTAATTGTACGCTGTTATAATCGTCAATAAAAATGTGGTCGATTCGTCCATTCATTGCAGTTTAACTACACAAAGCCACATGGACTTGCCGAAATGCTCTAGCTTTCGTTGCCATAGACCCCTTGCTAAAGTTTTTTCATTGCAAATATTTCATTACTGTGGCTACAGCGTATATTTCTTTTCAGTATTTGTCCCCCTTGATTTCTCTGAAACTCGAATATGTATGGTCGCATCCAAATGTGCCTGCATGTTCCAAAATTCCCCTTTGACTGGAATATCGCTACAGTACGATATTTAATTTCGCCGTAGTTTTTCTCTGCATCCCCCATGATTAAATATACATTCTTTCTGCTTAGCTCACCCCCATCTCAGGAACTCTGAGAGTTTCTGGGAAGTTCCTAGGGAAAGTCCATTATCAAAACGGGGAAAAGGAGAGGGGGGGGGGTATGGTGGTTAGGGTGAAGGTAAGATTAGAGTTAGCCTGTGCACATTTCACACCGTAACACCCCTGTACTGTTGGACTACCCCAGGGAACTCCCAGGAAACTCTCGGACTCCCCGAGATGGAGTGAACTAAAAGAAATGGCCATGCCCTCGGAAGTAGAGTGTACAGTGTGTGCTAGCTGTAAAGATCACTCAGTGCTCGATGGTTGTTGCCACGCACACATACCCACCTACACTGAAGTACATACAGGTCATTTACTAACTGTTCTGTGGTGCCGCGATATAAGTGTGCTATAGTACTATATGGATAGATGGTTGAACAACGTTTCTGGGATTTGTTCCCGTTTAATTCTCTCCTTTGAGAAGACTAAATACAGTCCTGAAAGGGGGAAACAGGGCGGGGAAGAAGGGCGGGCTTGCGTAGTCAATATTGCCACTGCCTTAATTTTTTTTTTTTTTTCAAAACACATTCAAATCGAAATTTTGTAAATAAAGACTAAAAACTATCGTAAAAATCCGGTACCAATGGTAATACGAACAATGTATCGAAAGAGACCATGGGGTGTGTATTTCAGTGGAAATAATTGTTTCCGTGTTTGAGTATATGTCGATGTAACTGTGTAGTAATGCACCTGACGAGATACAGCAAAACATACATGGCAATAAATTGTGAGGCTAGGCTCATAGACCCAACATTCCTTAGTGGGTGATGGGGTCAACATCACGCCGACCGCCTTTATTTCCCAGGAGTCTACCTAGTACCCATTTAACGCTGGGTCGACAGGGGTAAATGCAAAAACGTCATACTCATCTGCACATAGCAAAGTTGAACCCACGCTCTTTAGATCCGTAAGCGAGCGGCTAGCCGCTACATCACGACTGCTCCCTTGAATGATTTCAAGAAGCATTAATGAGGTTAACGCTGTTTGTCTGCAGGTGCATGGGCGTGGCTGTCGCAGTATCTTCTGGTTCTGGAGGAGCCATGCTTTCCCGCGCTTTTGTCTTTCTGGTAAGTGTGGCTTCTTGGTGAGTTTATTGACATCATGTGTGGTTTCTTCATCAGTTAGTTGACATCATGTGTGGTTTCTTCATGAGTTTATTGACACCATGTGTGGTTTCTTCCTGAGTTTATTGACACCATGTGTGGTTTCTTCACGAGTTTATTGACGCCATGTGTGGTTTCTTCCTGAGTTTATTGACACCATGTGTGGTTTCTTCACGAGTTTATTGACACCATGTGTGGTTTCCTGGTTTCTTCATGAGTTGATTAACATCATGTGTGGTTTCTTGGTTTCTTCATGAGTTTATTGACATCATGTGTGGTTTCTTGGTTTCTTCATGAGTTTATTGACATCATGTGTGGTTTCTTCATGAATTTATTGACATTATGTGAGGATTTTTTATGAGTTTATTGACATTATGTGTGGTTTCTTCATGAATTTATTGACATCATGTGTGGTTTCTTCATGAGTTTATTGACATTATGTGTGGTTTCTTCATGAGTTTATTGACATTATGTGTGGTTTCTTCGTAAGTTTATTGACATTATGTGTGGTTTCTTTATGAGTTTATTGACATTATGTGTGGTTTCTTCATGAGTTTATTGACATTATGTGTGGTTTCTTTATGAGTTTATTGACATTATGTGTGGTTTCTTTATGAGTTTATTGACATCATGTGTGGTTTCTTCATGAATTTATTGACATCATGTGTGGTTTCTTCATGAGTTGAGTAACATCATGTGTGGTTTCTTGTTTTCTTCATGAGTTTATTGACATCATGTGTGGTTTCTTCATGAGTTGAGTAACATCATGTGTGGTTTCTTGTTTTCTTCATGAGTTTATTGACATCATGTGTGGTTTCTTCATGAGTTGATTAACATCATGTGTGGTTTCTTGTTTTCTTCATGAGTTTATTGACATCATGTGTGGTTTCTTCATGAGTTGAGTAACATCATGTGTGGTTTCTTGTTTTCTTCATGAGTTTATTGACATCATGTGTGGTTTCGTCACGAGTTTATTGACATCATGTGTGGTTTCTTCATGAGTTGAGTAACATCATGTGTGGTTTCTTGTTTTCTTCATGAGTTGAGTAACATCATGTGTGGTTTCTTGTTTTCTTCATGAGTTTATTGACATTATGTGTGGTTTCTTCATGAGTTTATTGACATCATGTGTGGTTTCTTCATGAGTTTATTGACATCATGTGTGGTTTCTTCATGAATTTATTGACATCATGTGTGGTTTCTTCATGAATTTTTTGACATCATGTGTGGTTTCTTCATGAGTTGAGTAACATCATGTGTGGTTTCTTCATGAGTTTATTGACATCATGTGTGGTTTCTTCATGAATTTATTGACACTATGTGTGGTTTTTTTTAGGAGTTTATTGACATTATGTGTGGTTTCTTCTTGAGTTTACTGACATTATGTGTGGTTTCTTCATGAGTTTATTGACATTATGTGTGGTTTCTTCGTAAGTTTATTGACATTATGTGTGGTTTTTTTATGAGTTTATTGACATTATGTGTGGTTTCTTCATGAGTTTATTGACATTATGTGTGGTTTCTTCCTGAGTTTATTGACATCATGTGTAGTTTGTTCATGAGTTTTTTGACATCATCTGTGGTTTCTTCATGAGTTTATTGACATCATGTGTGGTTTCTTTATGAGTTTATTGACATCATGTGTGGTTTCTTCATCAGTTTTTTTTGACATCATGTGTGGTTTGAGTGCCAGTCGAGAGATGGACGGTCCTAGAAAAACATAATCATAAAACTACAACCTGCGACATGGGAGGTATAAGAAATTATGAGGGTAAAAACCACAAGAGACAGAGTCACCAATGAAGAAATTATGAATAGTAGTAGGCACAGTATCGGTTTATGACTTTATAGAACATCAAAACATCGAGGGGCTTAATTTGAGGATTGAGTGTCTTCTGGGAGGGAAGTGTTCCAGATGGTTATAATAGCTGCCTATGCTTGTTTATGAAAGGTACAAGCAGTCCCATACAAATCAGTATTGTTGCAGTGTCAGATATTATAACTCTTTTTTTTTCCACAAGGAACGCATCATACGTTCATAGATTCCTACCTAGAAGCCCAATGAACGCAAGATGCCCCGATTTTACGTCTTTCTTGACTACCCCTTGGGCCTGTGATGCTTAACCCCCTGGGACTCAAAGAGTTAAGCCGCACGTTTGTGTCTTTTCAGACAATTGTATACCTCTGTGCTATATAAGGACATGTGAATTAAGCTCGCAGCGTTGGCGAATATGACTAGCAAGACCGGCTCACTTTATTAAGACTCTTCCACAATAAATGCATGAGATTTCAGCACCACTGTTGCCATAACATATATTTGACATAATCCCCCCCTCCCCACCTCCCACCATACGTTCCGCTCCAACTATGTCTGCAGTCCTTTTCTCCTTAGTCCACATTTCCTTTATATTTTGCCCACCCTATATGCAGTGGTATCCATGGCATCTTGTTCTTATGAATGTACCCCAATATCCGAACCATTCGTATCCCGCTGGCACATACCTTTAACTGGTAGTAAAGTTAAGCGTCAGGTATTATAATTTCACATGTTCTAAGTCAAGACATATAAGATGAGGTGGCTGGAGTCTTCGTCGCCTTTGTGAAAATCATCCAGAACTCAGTATTGGATGATTTGGAGGTTCTTAGCAGAAGGTGTTAGTCGACGTTTGGTGTAGGAGAGCCTAGCATATGGTACTACAATATACAGCTTATGAATGGAAGTGGAGGCGGTCACTGCATCTTTCTGCTGGCTAGAGAGCACCACACACACATACATGTACACATATTCACACACACATCATGACTTGTTAAAAAATTTACTCAGAAAGAATACCGAGGAAGGTGAGAACAGGCATTCTCTATGCAGAAATGGCATGCTTCGCTTCAGAGGTCCTGGTGAAAAACCTGGTGAAAATCTTTTCTTCTGGGCGTACCGGTTTGTTGGAAAAGAACTGGCGGACAGAGTGGCTGGCTCTGCACGACTTGGTGGACAGCTGTTGCGCGATAGGGCAAACGTGGTTAGAGGTCTTAAGGAAACACGTGTAAATTTTGGAGAAAATTGACCACCGCAGTCTGGTAAGAGTGGTGCAGTAAGAAGTAACGAGGGGATCTGACCGATACTCGACGCTCAGAGGAAAGGCAAGACAAGACGGACAGATAATCCTCAAATAAAAGATTACCATTTTTTTTAAACAAACATCTAGTTTTCATTTTTGCCTTTTTTTTTATTGAGTTGAGTTGATTCAAAAACTGACATCACCGCATTCCCATAAGCGCTTTGTCCTCATCTTCAACGAAGAGTTCCGATACTAATGGTGCCAGTAGCATTCTGATTAAACGTCCTTCTTGCCTTTCCTCTGAGCCTCGAGCATCAGCCAGAACCTCTCGCCACTCCCCCCTGCATGAATCTTACCAGACTGTGGTGATCCATCTGTTTCCTCCGAACTGTACACGCTCTCCCACAGGGCACTAACCACGTCTGCCTTATCATGCCTCATACAATGTTTACTAAACCAGACACCGATTAAAATTAAATAACCAGCATGCTGACAAGTAAATGAGTTATGGGAACTTTTCAAAACATCAGACTGTACGCATTTCAAAGGCGTTTGCCTCTTAGGTGATCATTGCCAGAACAAGGCTCCCATGAGTTAGATGAAACACAATTTTTTCATTCTACGCGGATTAGGTTAACACAATAATCACCACGTATCGCTTCACAGATGAACTGATTTCCAAACGCTCTGCGTGTCTGTGTCAATTACTGTATATTTTATTTTTAGGAGTACACAATTTATTGGTTTAAAAAAAAAAAAAAAAGAGCAAAGCAATTCGTCGCTTCAAAATAAACAGAAACAACCGTTTAAATTATGAAATTAAAAGGATATGGGAAATCTAAGACAACGTGAAAAAAAAGTCGTTTTGATGCTTACAGAGTTTTCCAGATGATTGTTAAAGTGTGAAACGCACTACAAGTGTGAGCATATAGTAGTAGTAGTAGTACTTTTACCCCACCAGGACATCACACAAGCTATACACACCTGATGACACAAAGTGCCACCATGTGGATGAGGATCACCCGTGGAGAGGTCCCAGAAACCGCGTTCAGCCATTAGGCCCTAATAATGGGCGGGCTTTACTGCGGCCCCTGGCAAGATCCAGGGTAGGGCTTCAAAATAAAGAAACATTGCATCCCACGAAGGGATGTCTGAAGTTCAGTGTGTTAGCATGTGTGCGTGGGCCTGCTTTTATGCATGCCCTCTTTTGTGCGTATTTCATTCTGTAACAATTGCTATTTCCTTTTCAGGAGAGCTACCACTATACAGTGCCTTTCGTTATATACGGGCTAATGATGTCCAGTGTCGGAGTCCTAGGGTTGGTGTTTCCAGAGACCATCAGGCGGCCCCTGAAGAACGTCCAGCAGTGTCGGCACCGCAAGATCCCGCTCACGGAGGGTGCCAGACTCGTAGGGAGGCCACCCAGTCTATGGGATGCCGTATAGTTACTGTTAACAAAACGCTCTTATCGAACAAACTGTTTAACTTTTGTGAAATGTCACATGTCTGGTTTAACAAGCAGACTATAGTGACTATTATATTGTTGACTCACAAGGGTGTTAACCAAAGACTTTTCTTCAGGATTTAACATATTTCAAAATGAAGGTTGTGAGACAGCGTGCGTTGCATTGTTTATAACACAGTGATCCTAATGGAGCGCTAAAGCATAAAATAAAACTCGTAATGTCTCATAGCCTGTCTTACTCAAACTTACCTCATCTTGATGAGGCGGGCCCGGTTCTTCCCAGTAATCCAGTAGAAGGTTGGATTTTCAACCCCCAGCTGAAAACTGGATGAGACAACAAACGAGGTAAAGGCGAAATCTGTTTTCGTTGCCAGTTACTGGGCTGACTCTTGTTGCGAAATTGTAAATTGTGGAGTTTATAGGAAACTCGTCTGTGCTCTAGACTATGTAAGATGTAGGCTGCATTTTGTCTCTCTCTAAAAATGGTAGTAGCTATTTACCACAGAGTTGGCGGTATACCTTATACATTAATGTGTGTTCACCCGCTGATTTGTCATGACTGCAACTTCCATTATTTTTGTTTTAGTCCTAGTTTTAGTTTCAACGTCACCCCAAACTTGCTCCGCTCCTGTGCCTGTGAAAACCAAATGAAATGTCTTCCAACTGTCCCATCTTAAAAATTGGTGAATAAACAATTGTCCCGGAACTTTTGAGAAAAATCTGTATGCAGTAAATGCATATGGAAGTTGCCAGAGGCGCCAGAGCCATCAGTAACCACTAGAAATACAGTTTTTTGTTGATGGAAGTAGTCGGTCACAAAAAGTTGGCTATACGAACGAAAAACTATTACATGAGGTGGTTTTCAGGTCCAGTGACGCCCTTCATTGATGCGTTTTAACCTTTTACAAGCGCGACTTCCTCTTACAGGAGTGCCAGGTTGCAAAGTATCCTACACAATCACCGATATCCCGCGTTCCATACTACACGATGTTACAGCCACTTTTAACGACCCTATAACATCTACAACTGGCCCTAACCGCCCCCCCCCGCCCCCAGGAGACAACCTCAGCCTAGGTCACACTAGAGAGTGCCACCATACAAAACAAAACAACTTTTCACTGGCACAGGAACGAAGCAGAAGTGAAGATTAGCCTACTGAGGTAGGAAACATGACTGATAGCCTGAAAGCAGTGTAATCTAAAGGTACTGGTACATAATTAACGTTAAAAAAAAAGGATCCTTTCCCACACTTTCCCCGTACTATTCTAGCCTCACATAATTTAAGATCAGCTGCCATTGGGTTGATGATCTGGTCAAAGAACCGTCTTCGTTGAGTTAGCCCTTACCTACTCTAGACCAGCTGCCATTGGGTTGATGATCTGGTCAAAGAACCGTCTTCGTTGAGTTAGCCCTTACCTACTCTAGACCAGCTGGCATTAGGTTGATGATCTGGTCAAAGAAACGTCTTCGTTGAGCTAGCCCTTACCTACTTTAGACCAGCTGGCATTAGGTTGATGATCTGGTCAAAGAAACGTCTTCGTTGAGTTAGCCCTTACCTACTCTAGACCAGCTGGCATTGGGTTGATGATCTGGTCAAAGAACCGTCTTCGTTGAGTTAGCCCTTACCTACTCTAGACCAGCTGGCATTGGGTTGATGATCTGGTCAAAGAACCGTCTTCTTTGAGTTAGCCCTTACCTACTCTAGACCAGCTGGCATTGGGTTGATGATCTGGTCAAAGAAACGTCTTCGTTGAGTTAGCCCTTACCTACTCTAGACCAGCTGGCATTGGGTTGATGATCTGGTCAAAGAACCGTCTTCGTTGAGTTAGCCCTTACCTACTCTAGACCAGCTGGCATTGGGTTGATGATCTGGTCAAAGAACCGTCTTCGTTGAGTTAGCCCTTACCTACTCTAGACCAGCTGCCATTGGGTTGATGATCTGGTCAAAGAACCGTCTTCGTTGAGTTAGCCCTTACCTACTCTAGACCAGCTGGCATTGGGTTGATGATCTGGTCAAAGAACCGTCTTCGTTGAGTTAGCCCTTACCTACTCTAGACCAGCTGGCATTGGTTGATGATCTGGTCAAAGAACCGTCTTCGTTGAGTTAGCCCTTACCTACTCTAGACCAGCTGCCATTGGGTTGATGATCTGGTCAAAGAACCGTCTTCGTTGAGTTAGCCCTTACCTACTCTAGACCAGCTGGCATTGGGTTGATGATCTGGTCAAAGAAACGTCTTCGTTGAGTAAGCCCTTACCTACTCTAGACCAGCTGGCATTGGGTTGATGATCTGGTCAAAGAACCGTCTTCGTTGAGTTAGCCCTTACCTACTCTAGACCAGCTGCCATTGGGTTGATGATCTGGTCAAAGAAACGTCTTCGTTGAGTTAGCCCTTACCTACTCTAGACCAGCTGGCATTGGGTTGATGATCTGGTCAAAGAACCGTCTTCGTTGAGTTAGCCCTTACCTACTCTAGACCAGCTGCCATTGGGTAGATGATCTGGTCAAAGAACCGTCTTCGTTGAGTTAGCCCTTGCCTACTCTAGACCAGCTGCCATTGGGTAGATGATCTGGTCAAAGAACCGTCTTCGTTGAGTTAGCCCTTACCTACTCTAGACCAGCTGGCATTGGGTTGATGATCTGGTCAAAGAACCGTCTTCGTTGAGTTAGCCCTTACCTACTCTAGGCAAGCAGCGTAAAAAGATTAAGGGATCTGTAAAATAATTTGCAAATATGGTTGATGATATGGTTTCTGTGGTTTATCGTTTATATGGTTTCTACGCGCTTCATATTGCCAGTGTGTCGGGTTCGATTACAGCTGCAGGCGATTTGGCAGTCGGCCGCTTTGTGTTGGTTTTGACAGAGGTATCGATAGTCAACCGACGAGAGAGCAATCGCAAACTACTGAATTTAAATTTGCCTAGCAAAACCACAACAGCCGAAAATACTGAAGTTGGTTCTGCAACGTGTTGTAAAGAATACGCAAATAACATACATGTATGTATGTACGTATGTATGTATGTGTGTGTGTATGTACGTATGTATGTATGTGTGTGTGTATGTATGTGTGTGTGTATGTATTTATGTATTTATGTAATCTCACGTTTAAAATGCAAAAATTTTTGTATTTCTAATATTTATAAATTATATCTTCTTCAGTTTTACTATTTAAAATACTGGGTCTGTGCACTGACGAAGGAAGGTATGCAAGGGTGGGGTTGCCCCTGCTGTTATCACTGGGGGGGGGGGGGGTGAAAAAATAGCAAAAGGGTGTTTTTAAAGTAAAGACATACACATGTGTAAGTAGAAGGAGAAAGGGGGGATGAGGGTGGGTCGACAGGAAAATGTTACGCACCGGGTACCACCTGATCGCACTGTGTAACTGCATTGGCATATTTTCGAAAAGGGTTTGCATGTTTAAGCCAAGTACAAAGCAATTTTCTAGGCATCAATATAGTGAGATGGATTGCCAAATGAAAGGTCTGTCCTATCCAATAGTGTTTGTAACATTTATTAACATTTTCGGGTATCCATATTTTCCCCGAGACTGCGGTCAGGAAGGAAGAAATCAAACACCTTTTGTCTGGAGATGAGGATTGACTCAAATCATCATCTACGCCAGTGAGTTTTCAACATTTTTTTTCAGATGGCGCCGCCCTTGTGTGTATGTGAAAATAAGTTTACAAAAATTAAACCTTAATATATCAAAGTATTACAAATACAAATGCTCTCAGTGTAATAATTATTCCCCTTGAACCCCCCCCCCCCCCAAAGGGGGAGGGGGGTTACTCACCCTCCCCCCCTCCTTGGTGAGACGCGCTCCCAAGCTGAAAACCACTGATTTAGAAAGCATGGGCACTAGACAGTGTCGAGTCTGACGTATCTCTCTATTTAGCTCTCTTTATTAACTGTCAAATGTTTCTCTACAAATGTATTCATATAAAGACAGATTTATTATCACAATCTATAAAGTTTAGTTTCTTGCTTGTCCTTTCAAAATGTGATTTTGATCTATATATCAGGTCAGCTATTGTTGTGTGTGTGTGTGTGTGTGTGTGTGTGTGTGTCTGTTTGTTTGTTTGTTCGTTTGTTTGTCATAGTACTCAAGATTCTAATGTATGCATGTTTTATTTTATCACTGCTTTAGTATAATCAAGAAAGCACAAATACAGATCTCTATTTATTTAAATCATTCTTTCTGTAAGTGTTTGTGTCTATACCTTCAACAACCATACTGCAACTCTTCATTTTCTGGTTTAAGTGTTGCACGTTATTCTTCTCATTATCATTAACTATTTCAGTGCTACAAGTTCCTACCTAACATCCAAAAGAGTTACGAATGGAAATACTAACTTCATGGCTTTACTTCTTCCGGAGGGTTCAAAATATACAACCCTTGTAGGAAAAACACATATGTTCTGAGTTCTTTAGAGCCACTCACTAAATATAGGATGTAAAAACATACATAACATGTTGACTGGTTCCAGTGAATAACACCCAGTCACTCATAGAGCGTTCTTGGGAGCAGAAAAAATATTTCCGTTTTATGACTCACAAAACTTAAAGGAACATTCCCACCCCCCCCCCCCACGCGCGCAGACGCACGCACACACACACACACACAAACACAAAGAGAGACGCACACACACACACACACACACACAGGCACACACACACATACATAATCAAATACGGAAGTTGCACCTAATGAAAAAAATAACTAAACGGATCTATAGTTTACTTGAGCTATATTAAAAAACGTAACGCTCTATAAAAATCATTGATTTCAGAAAAAGTTTGACTAAAAAGCTCAACAAAATGGGGAAGCAGAAAAACGTGCATAAAACAACACAAATAACGTAACGTTTCGGTCGGACAGCCTTTGTCAAACTACACAAAAATAACAACGAGGAGAGGAGAGTATACAGATATCTAAGAGGTAACGTGAGCAACGTTAAAAAAAATGTGATGTGGAATAAATG